TTATCAGGTTGATGAGAAACATACATCAAAGGCAGGGCCTTTCATCCCCTTATACAAAAAAAATAAAGGGCACCCTGCCGATGCCATCGTATTCATTCCCTCCAACTGTTCATCTGACATTCTTGCCAGACGTGTAGGCAGAACAATGAAAATGGCCTCTCCACCGCCGCCTGGTAACAGTAGTTCTAGCTTCACCTTCGAACCGTACTGTGTAGCGATCCTCTGTGCCAGCCGCACCTCGTATTTCACGTTCAGCATCAAGTCTCGGATACTCGTGAATTCGGGCGCAACGGCTATGCCGTTCAGCGCATCAACAACGAGCTCATACTGAGCGGGGTTGTTTTCAGCCATGTTGACGATAATCTGCAAAGAAAAAAGAAAAAAAATAAGTATTGACATACAAAGTATAGGAATATATAGGGGTATAGATAGAGTGGGGGAGTTGAGCATGTTCACACATGTACAACGAGGAAAAAAAAAAAACAACACAAAAACAGAAATGCTTACCTCTCTTTAATTCTCTATACTCCGAAAAGGATCCAGCACAAAAAAGTGTGTATAGCGTAAGAAGTAGCACGGGTCTGTAAAAGAAAACAAAATAAAGGGGCGAAGATTAGTTTATGCTCAAATGTGTATGCATTTCTTTGCTAACAGACGCTTGGTTATGAACGTGCCGACGTTGTATGATCGCACCGCGTCGCGCTCAACATGACACCGTAGAGCACACACGTTAGGGAATGTCTCACAAAAACAAAAAGACAGTCGCAACAAGAAACGTTTATCTCACCTTAGTAGAGCAACAACGCGCACGCTGAGGATGGTGGGAAGCAGGACGGCTTGCAGCGACACGAAGCGAGATGAACCGTGCAACCACACCAACACAGATACAACACTGTAAAGACAAATAAAATAGGAACAAATTATTTTCAGAATGTCAGAGAACGCATGGAAGAGGGGTTAGGTAAACCAACTCCATCGCGTTGCATGCGAGCCATACGTTCATGAACACAATACAAGAGGTTGGGTGGCACAATGAAGAGCGTAGCTTACCTTAGGGTTGAGCGAGAGTGACGACGAACAGGGCGGCGAGCGGTGCGGAGCGACACAAACGGGGCTGTGCTGTTAGGTTGACGATGAGGGAGCAAATGATAGCCCCGGTGTGCCCACCGTATTTATGGGCGGCTTTGCTGGGGTCATTTTGTTAACCCCAGTAGAATAGCGAGGTGGGCTACTGGGGAGCGCTAGGCAGGGCCTTAGCGGCCGGGCAGCCCCGCTGCGGGCCCGCGTGACAGCGCGATGTACAAGTCTGAGCGTGCACAGCCCCCAACGAAGGGAGAAGTATATTCCCCGAGGCTGTCGAACAGATGCACACCTTTCACATGTGCAGGTAGGTAAAACGCTACCCAGTGTGAGTCGCCATGACGGTCGGTATCATGGTTTGCAAAAAGTACAGCAGGCCTCGTTAGGGGGGCGAGAGGTAGCCGATTCGCAGCGAAAACCCCAATAAAATACCGTTTAGTGCTAGTATTTACACGTAAAATATTTGCTATATCAGACGTATCCATGCTAATAGATTAAAATATTCCTACTACCACCAATCGTAAGGACTGAATCAAACTCGAGCAATACGAGGCAAGTCAGAGATGTATTTAAAGGTTTGGAAAAATTGATTTCTAATCTCGTCGTACCTGCGTTAGGAATGCTTGAATACGGTCCGCCCATCTCATCAATTGACGTGTTGAAGCATGCCAGGAAACACCCGTGTTAATAGGCCTCTGGGGTTATCATATGAGGAGACGGGCGCTGGGGGACCCGGCCGCTCGCTTCCCCCTTTGCAACGTCTCGGTTACAAAACTACATGCCCCCCCCTCCCCCACTCCTCTACAGCACTCCCAATGTAGGGGGGATACTAGGGAACAAACTCATCAGCATGTTTTTTAAAAAAAATATACTTGATTAAATTTTTTATTACTGTACACATTGAACAATACACATGGCACACACAGTAAATTTAAGTATCCTATTACACTGAACTATGGCTCCAGCCACTGCTACACACTGCACAATCATGCCATCTCTTTTTACACACCCTCCCTTTTTCATACACGACAAAGCGTGTTATATCAGGCGAACCCTTGTCAGATGTTACGCTGTAACGCGAAGACAGCGGATTTAAAGACTTGACATGCTTATAATAGAAATTGACCAATAAATTAATTACTGCTCAGTCAGCTCTTGTCTGAGGACACCACACACATTCACTTCGAGCCGCTTTAGTTCCGGTGCATTGTTGGCAATTGTGAACACAGTGTTCATAACCCACTTTAACTTTGCCTCATCAGTGTTTTCACCCAGAATATAATATCTAGTGAGAACATATCTACTGAACTCTAAAGTTAGGTACTCTAGCTGCAACCACTGATACACACTCATGTCCCCCCAATAATGGAGGGCGGGCGTAATTTCTTTGATAGTATGCCGATGGGCACGAATCAAGCAGGCCTCAATGTAAGGAAGATAACCAAAAGCCTTGAATGTACGGAATGCCCCAAGGTCAATTTTTCGAATAACAATTGCCGGATTTAATAATTCCCTCATCAGCTTTAGCCACACTTCTCGAGGCTCCATTCCATCACATGCATTAGACATATTAATAGTCATACAACGCAGATTGAATGTAGAGTCCCGGTCAATGCATTCAACATATTTTCTAGCGCGTAATTCTCTCAAGATTTCACCCACGTTGCGAGTGATTTGGACGCGGTCGGGCCGACCCTCTTCCCCTCCCTTCCACCCAAACAGCTCGTCGCCGATGTGCAGAGGAGGGCGAAACATGAGTCTGTGCTGGGCGAGCTCTCTAAGTCTGCCACCCACAGCCGTCAGGTTCAGCAGATCTCTTGTCGGCAGGTAGTCCGTAATCATGTACCTGATCTCATTCGGCACCTCCAACAGATGGCATCATTGCTCTACATGAAACAGACACACAAAACACAACTCGTCAGCACATTTTTATCACTCACGCTCACGCGTATGCCCCTCCCCGCTTCACTTGATGTTTTATTGCCCTCCCACGTTTAAGTCTCCGCACAGCGCTGCGCGCACAGTCTCTCTCTCTCTCTCTCTCTCTCTCTCTCTCTCTCTCTCCACACACTCAATACAAGTACAACACTTACCATAAACACTGGTGTTCTGCTCCTGCCTCTGCTCCAACACATCATCCAACAGTCCATGGGTGTCCATCTCAAAATAAGGTCCTCTCCTATAACATAGCGAGATTTTGTTTTTTAATATGCTACCTTTCTTTCACTATGGTATCACAATATGATGCTCCCGTCTACCACTCGACTTACCTCAACACGATGACACGAGGGAAGGCGTTGAATCGATGATGGCAGGGCTGCACTTGACTCCTCTTCGAGCTTCGAGAGACGAATGGCACCGACACCGATCAATCGTTTTTATTACCCCCATTCACATTTTTCCTCCCCTCCACCTTCCCTCCCCTCCCCTCCCACGGTGTCGGCCGCTACCTCGCACGTGAGTGTATATACTCACCCGGGCTACTGCACTGCTGACCGCGCTGGGGGCACCGACCGCGCCAGCCGCTCATGCTGACCGGTGTGCCTGCCACCTGTGACCAGTAGTCCATGCGGTTGCGTTTGCTTGCACCTCACCTTTTCACGGACTACCGACCGCGCTGGGGGCACCGACCGCGCCAGCCGCTCATGCTGACCAGTGCACCTGCCACCTGTGACCAGTAGGCCATGCGGTTGTATTTGCTTGCACCTCACCTTTCCACGGGGCTGCGGACTGTGACTCTCTCCCTCTCTCTCCGTCTCTCTCCCGAAGGGTATCCCATTTCCAAACTAGGCGTACAACGAATTGTCATGTTGACGCGTTGCAGCGAGTTCTGACCGATTTTTGAGAGTTTTGTGCGAATTTTGACTCGACTCTTACGAGGTTTTCGCGAGAAAACGCGAGTTGAACGTGAGTTGAACGCGAGTTAGACAAAATTTGGATGCACTCAAGTTTACAACGAGTTGGCTAGTAGGGATCCCTAGAGATAGCAACTTTATGTTTTCGCATTGCAGCATAATTTAGTAAACTTAAACCTAGAGCAAAACCACTTATATATTTGACACCCTTGACACTTGTTGGTTCGAGAACCAATTTCGAATCGAAACGCATAATTCGCCCTCACTTGCAGCATAATGCGTAAAACGCATTATGCTGCATAATTGGCCTTTGCTCGACATTATTTTCACAAATTTTGGTCCGTTAAA